AGTAATGTTTACAAACAAAAGACTACTGGGTAACTACCTACTACCCAAACTCTTCAGTACAGAACTACAGATATCAACCGAAGTCAAGTACTTGGGAGTAATACTGGACAACAAGTTGAATTGGAACAAGCATATGGACAACAAAATTAAAAAAGCCACTATCACTTTCTGGCAGTGCCATAGAATGGTAGGTAAACAATGGGGACTCTCACCCAAAATAACACTATGGCTCTACACAGCAGTGATAAGACCCATGATCAGTTACGGCGCGATAGTATGGTGGCCGCGAACCAAGCTGACGACCGCAACCGACAAACTGGAAAAATTCCAAAGACTAGCTTGCATGGCAACGACCGGCTGCATGAGGACAACTCCGACTGCGGCCCTCGAAGCGATGCTAGACTTGCGACCCCTCCCAATGTTCATTAGACAGGAAGCGGCGTCAACAGCAGTGCGTCTTAACAGAGCCGGCCTTTGGAAGCACATGAGGACCCCACATACAGAAATCCTTTATAAGACAGTCAATGAGGAACCGCTACTGGAGGCGGCTGTGGATAGGATCCCAAAACAATACATCTTCGACAAAAAATACAAGATACAATTGTTTGAAGATCCAAATGAAGGACTGAACCCCAAAGAGGTCCGCGTCTTCACCGATGGATCTAAAACAAATTCAGGAACAGGTACTGGGGTATTCTCAGAAGACCTCAATATCAGGATATCAACACCCCTTGGTGACCACAACACAGTATTCCAAGCTGAATGCATGGGCATCAAGTTGGCGGCAGAAGCAATCATAGCGAGAAGAGTAAAGAACCACTCCATTCGAATACTCTCTGATAGTATGTCAGTACTTCAAGCACTGAACAGCTATGACATAAACTCAGGGCTCATTGAATGCCATCAAGCACTCATGGAGGTATGTATACAAAACCACTTAACTCTACAGTGGATTTTAATCCACTTTTGTTTGTGTCCTTTAGGACACAACGGCTCACGGGGCAATGACGCAGCAGATGAACTAGCCAGAAAAGGGTCGGAGACGGGCGCAGTAGGACCAGAACCCATAGTGTCCCTCCCCTACCAATGGTCCAGAACAACTATACACAAAGGTACAAAAACTTCACATAATAATACATGGACCACCCTTACGGTTTGTAGACAGGCGAGGGAAGCACTCCCAACGCTCAATGCCAGTCTATCACGAATATTAATTAAACTCAACAGGCAAGAGCTTCGCACTCTAACTGCCGCCCTAACAGGTTATGGTCCATACAATAAACACCTTTTCAATTTAGGTATCACAGACAGCCCTCTATGCAGAGCGTGCATGGAGGGGGAGGAAACGGCTGCGCACATCCTACTACAGTGCTCCGGCGTGGCCAACTACAGGGCAAAGTACCTTGGAGTGCCAAGGTCGCTCCCCGAAGTCTTCAGCAAACCGAGGAAGCTGCTGAGATTCCTGGAGGAGCTTGGGTGGCACGAGTAGGACCCTGCACCCACCACACGCAAAATAGGCGACTTGTCGTCGAGTTGCGGACACCAGCCCGTTACACCAAGTACCAAGTACCAAGTACGCTATACGGGAATCGCTGGATCGGCCGCGGGGGTCCCGTTCCATGGCCACCCAGGTCACCAGACCTCACACCCTGTGACTTTTTTTTGTGGGGCGAAATTAAACGCCGCGTGTATGTGGAGGTGAATTGAAACTAAAAATTGAAAGTGCATTTGCACAAGTGAAAAGTGACACTACAGTGCTGAACAAAATACAAGACAATATTCAAAAACGTGCAAGAATCTGCTTGGAGAGGAATGGTTTACATTTTGAGCAATTATTAAAATACTGTTAAAGTTGTTACGCTAAGGTAATTTTTATTTGATTTTATTTAAATGTACATAAGTTGATTCAAATTTTTTAAATACGCCTTATTGCAAAAGGCATGGCCTGCTTTTATTTTTATACTTCTGTGTACGATACGAGTGCGGACTACATTTGTCGTAAATCGATGTTTTGTTTAAATTTATTGATATTATTATAAAATGTTTCTAGTTCACTAATAAAAAACACCACGTGCGTAGATAACAAAAGGGCGATGGGAAGATTATTTTTTTTATTACTTGCTAAATACTAATTCGTTACAATTCATCGTAGGAAGCGAACCTTTTATTTGATTGTCTCACAAACAAAAATAAAGATTATTTTCTTTTGTTCTCTGCACATGGTAAAATTTTTAGTGACTTTGAAATTCAATAAGTACCTAAATTCTTCGATGGCCTTCGGTAACACAACGCTTTAAATGCGTAGAAGTTAAGTTCGGGAAACGAACTTTCCTAATTAGGCGTGTTTATCAGGTGCATTATTTTTATCATTATTTTGTAATAATATCATTAAATTTTGTCAAACCTCTAAAACAATTTACTTATAAATAACTTCCGCTCTCGTTTTCGTGCGTTAATGTAACAAAATCTTGACTTGAATTCGAATTAATTGTCTACATTCTAAAATAACATCACAAAAGCCTTTTGTAACTTGACGGTCCTAAGCCCGTGAAAGTATGAAGGGAAAATTTGCAACTTATGTATTTTATCAATGACGCGGGGGGTGGCCTAGCGCGCATATCGAGTAGGCTGTCCACACGCGCGCAATTTTTTAAAACAATTTTGCGATGGCATATCTTAATTTTAGTATTGATTTACACTAAAAGGAAAATTTGCGCATGTTATATTTTCACTAAAGATCATAATATGAAAGTTTGGACGATGACTAAAAATTCAACCTGTATATTACTCTGCACTAAAGAAAACAATAACTGAATGAGGCTCAGCCATAAGTTTTTTTACTTACTTCGTTTCATCTTTCAAAAAACGAAAGAAACTCCTTTCTTTATCCCGTTTAGATGATTATAAACAGCCGTACACAGCACAATTCACGACCATTATAAACAGTAACGTAATATGATGTTATATATTAACGTACAAATTGCGTAATGAATAAATGAAAACTATATTCAAACATCAAAGCCGTCTTAGCGCGAAATCGGCTCGTCGACAGCCTTGTACTCGTTCAGTCAATGTGACCGTCAAAGTGCGGGGCATGGTGCGGTATTTAAAGCTAAGGAGAGGCGAAGAGTGTCCGATCTCATTAGTTATTTGTTATCTGCTACAGTGAGCATGTACATTGTTTGGCTACATCGCTTTGGTTCACTAACTTCAATTTTTCAAATCTGGAAAATCAAAGGAAAAATGCAACTGCAACTGTTATGGACAGGCATGCAGCTTATCATCAGGCGCACTTTTTTTTTTATTGTTTCTGGCACTTCGCGGTTTGCGTTTGTGCCACTGCAAAACGGGGAAACTTATTCATGGAAAACAATGGAAAGGGAAAATAATTTGGAAGAAAGGATCAGAGAAGTGCGATTAAGGTTAAATAGGAATACAAACATATAAAATATACATATAACAATTTTGTGACAAACGTAATATAGCTACATATTTATAATTTGATACAATTGAAAGTTATAAACGAAGCGAAACATTTATAGATAATAGGACTATTAGATTCCCAAAATATGCCTTACAGTAGTAGGAAGAGGGAATCCAATGGAGATGAAGACATGGAACAAAAAGGAATGATCGTATAAAAGACAGTTGAGTACAATATGATTTAGATCACCTATCTCTCCACACTCGCAAAGGTCACTGTCTATAATTTTAAACTTGGCTAAGTAGGCTGGAGAACACACATGCCCCAGTCTCATGCGAATCAGTACACTTGTGGCCAACTATCCAAATTTCATTTTGGAAAACCAAGGCTTAGTAGGAATAGAGGGTTGTATACTCGCATAAAACGATCCTTTCGTACGGCTGCTAACACTCCAAAATTCCTGCCAGGAATTCCTGAGAGAAATCGCGGGCAGTGCATCTAAATCATGACAGTAATTAGTAAAAAATGCTACATCACCGCAATGAATCGCCTCACCCGCCAGTTGGTCTGTGCGTTCATTGATCAGGCGCACTTAAGCATCCCTAGTAAGTTTATGAGGCGCACTTTTTTTTCACCTCTATCTAGGGCGCATGCCTCATTCGTCCCGTCACCTGATTAAAAAAAAATGTATTAAGACTTAGGCAAAGCCATCAGCCTAAACATGAAGTTTAATTATGTTTTTTTTTTAAATTTATTAAGGCTTTGGCAAAGCCATCGGCCTAAACATGAAGTTTATGTTTCTGTAAATATGGCCGCCACAAATAGGATAGGCAATTTGAGGCGGCGTGCTTGGATTGACTCGGGATTCCTTAAAACGGGCCGCTACGGGTATTCTAGTTCGAGATTCGTATAATTTCGCGTTTTAATCTGCGATTAAGGCACAATAGCACTATCCTATTCCACTTTAAACTAGATTTCACAAAATAATTGAAAGTCAAAATAAAAACGAAACTTTTCCTCCAAAAGGTCCAGAGCAAATCCTTTAATTATGTTTCTGAAAATGTGGCCGCCACAAAGAGTGCGGCCAAAAAGATTGACTCGGGATTCCTTAAAACGGGCCGATACGGGTATTTTAGTTCGAGATTCGTATAATTTCGCAATCTTCGATTAAGGCACAATAGTACTATCCTATTCCACTTTAAACTAGATTTCACAAAATAATTGAAAGTCAAAATAAAAACGACACTTTTCCCTCCAAAAGGTCCAGAGCGAATCTCCCTCCCGTCACTTGATATTATAAATTTTTTTTTCTATTCTCCCTTTATGGAACAATATGACTTTTTTCAAAATTGAAATAATATCATTTTTATTATTTACTCAAAATTGCTACGTGTGTGGGTAGATTCGAAAAAAATCAACAGCTGTCACTTTGACTTTACTTGTTTGCTACATGCTGTGGGTACATGTCATCAGCTTAGCGGCTACTTTTTCAGATTTTACGTGATGAAAATTTGCACATCTGTTTTGGACGTTATTATTATGAACAATGGACTATTCGCGTATTAATTGTTGTTTACATAGCATACAATGTACTCCGTCAAACTGGCATAGTTAAAGAGCTCACTCTGCGACAATTTTCTATTGCATTCTAGTTTGCTTTACTGTGTTTTGTGCGGTTTCCTAACAATCTACCATGGCTACGAGAAAGAGAAGTGGGTCTGGTTCTAAAAGGCACCTGAAGGAGAAGGTAGTCCAGATTTACGAATCGTTTTTTAGAGGAGAAGATTTGACAACTGATAATCCGACCTTTTGGGATGAATTCTTTCTTTTAAAACCCAAAATACCGCAATTGGAGGCGGAAATTCACAAACTGTCGGTCGAGCAGCTGATGAACATGAAAGAAAGTATGAATTTACTTGTATTCCAGTGTATTGAAATGCTGGGGCAAGAGCATCACATAAGGTAAAGCTTTTATGTTTATAAGTATATTTTGGCAGTTCTAACTTTAATATAAATACGACCCTTTTATGTTATGTGTAGTAACAAAGGTACCTTTGCGAGCCCTGAACCCTTCACTGAGATTGTATACAACTTGTTTATCAAGTTAGCAGCTCATCATATGGAACTAGAGCACACATGTCTCATATCCCGAAACATGTGAGGCAGACTACTGACCTGAAACACTCAAAGATTAATGCATACGATGCCAGCATAATCTTCGGTTGTCTAAACACTGTAGAGATGCTTTGGTACTGAGCATGAATGGCATCATTCAGTCTAATCTCTATCTAAAAGAGAATAGATTCTGCCTTGTGTCCACTATTCCAGATTAGTGGCTGAGACTTCTCTGCATCTTTTTCACCAGTACTATTTAATGGACACATTAGATACTACTGGACGAACTCACGCCCCAAGCAGAGATTATAACAATTAAAACCAGGAAAATCCTTCAATTTTATAATACTAATGGCCTTGGCTCCGAGTTGTAATTAGTCCTGATCACAATAGATTAATTAGATGTAGTTAAACAAAAAGGATCCAATGCACATCCAGTCACTTTCGAGATATGGCAGTTTGAAGTTTAAAAATGTTTCTCACTGTTGTTTTATTTTCAAAACTTATAATGTCATGTAACTCTAGAGATGTTTATTTATGTTTATATGTTGGATTTTTCCTGATCTAAGAGGTTAGACTACGAACTGTTCAGTACATATTTTGATAATTTTGTGGATTGGATCCTTTTTGCTTGACTATGTTCAATTGCTGGTTGAAACAATGTGACACAGGCCCTGAATGAAACCACTATAACAATAAGCCAATGAAATAAGTCTTGTTTTTTCACAGATTAGTGTATGCTCTTCAGACCCTTAGTGTTCTACTAATTACAATGTATCAAAGAGTTGGACAAGACACTAACTTAAATGTCAAAACAATCTTAATTGGGACAGAACAGGCAGATACTAAGATGCAGAAGTTATTAGATCAATGTAGTATTATATTATCTGGTAAGCAGCAGTCTAGTGTGTTGTTAGGCTTTGTAGTCTCCTTGGAGACTGATTGATTGTTTTTGTGAAATGATTACCTGTTAGTATTATCTAAAAATTACTAGGTAAACCTAAAGCTACAGCTTTGTTGAAAAGATGTTGTGGTATCTTTCGTTTTAGAATTCCATGAAACCTTAAAAGCAAGTGAAAAAATCAGATTTTGAAACAGTATTTTCACCATAGCATAACTGTTTATTCTTATTTTGTACTGGAAAGTAAAATATTTTCCAAATTTGTTTTTTTTTTCAAGGTTGACTATCAAATGACTTATTGATAATATTGTCTAGTGAATAATGGCAAAAATCTAAAAAAAGGTCATAAAATAGACAAATCATAATTAATAAAAATAAACAATCATAATTAAGTTTTATTGAATGTCAGGATATACATCCTGACATTCAATACCACCATGATATTCAATTATTTTTTGTGAAATTGTCCCACTAATTTGTTATAATTATTAAACAAAGATCGAAGACTTCAATCCGGTTGGATTTGATAATTGCACTTTATTTCCCCTTTTTTGGTACAGGAGATGTTCCAGACAGTCTCAAATCAATGGTTCTTAAACTCCTGCTAGTGATAGCTACTGGAGTTGACAATATTGATGAGAATCCACTCATTGAGTACTTGATGCAGAACTCTCTGTTTGAGCCACTTAGTCAACTGCTGAGCACCTCTACTGAGAGGCAACAACACGGTAAGTATGTGGTATAATAATAACAGCCAACAGATACATCACTTACACGGTCATTTAAGAAATTCTTATTGTAATTGTGTTAAAAGGCCCTTAAATAAAATAATTGTTCATCTAGTTGTATAAGGGCGTTTTCAAATAGACTCCTGTGGAAGTACTGCAGTGGTGCGGCAGCCGCGCGTCTGTAGCGCTTTTGTAATTTTTAGTTCACTAATTGTGATTGTAAAAGTGGCGCGCCCGTGTCACGGCAGTGGTGCTGCAACTATGCTTCTAAATATTGTATGAAAGTCAGAAGTGGCACGGCTGCAACACCACTGCAGTATGTGTATATGTGTCTAGTTTGAAAGCGTCTTTAGTATACTGGTTGGTAGGATTATACTGGAACTATTATTTGTATTTCAGGTTATGATGTTGTACTATTACTGATGTTTCTAGTCAACTTTAAAAAACAAGAATCTGCTAACCCATATGTAGTAAAACTGTCTATACTTGATGATGAATTGGCTCTGAATGGGTAAGTAACCGTACATGAACTTCCCCCTAGAGGATATATTGATACAAGCTTTTACTATTTTCCATATTTAAATAATATATACTTGATACAAAGTGGCATTTAGATCTAAAGAAAAAGACTGCTGTATGCTGTATGTCAGAAATGGTATGATAATATATACTAATCTCTTTCAGTTATGGCCAAGTAATAACTACTGCATTGAACGATTTTGTTATGTCCACATTTGGAGGGATGCAAGGCAATAATGGTGGAGGATGGCTCTCCTCCATCACCAGCATGGTTGGTGGTATTTTCCTTAGTAGTGACGATACACAGCCAGTTATACGTGGACAGAGGAACAGGTACATTTAGCTGTATTATTATTATTATTAGGGAGGCTTTATTCAGGGCATACACATCCCCTCATCACTGCCATCATTGACTGATCTATTGTGATCACCACTAATTACAGTGCAGAGCCAAAGCCGACAGCATTGAAAAACTGAAGGACTTTCCTGGCTCTGACAGATTTAATGTCCTCTGGTTGTGGCATGTGCCTTCCCAGTACGGATCTTCGTACGCCCATCAGGGGGTAGCATTGGGTAAGTAGATGAACAGGAGTTTCATCCTCTGTGTGGCAGAATCTACATTCTCTATTTTCTCTCTGCCTAATATTTGGCATGTCCTTGTTTAAGCCACAATGCCCTGTTAAGGCTCTAGTGAGCATCCTTATGCCATTCCTGTCCAATGGCAGAGCTTCTCTACAGTGTTTGGCACTCTAGGCAGGTATCAGGGCTTTTGAATGCTCAAGAACCTTGTGCCACACTTCTCGGGAGAGGTGTGTGCTCTCATTTAGCAGAGTGAGCTTTGCCCGGCTGTATGCTATCCCTATGAAGGGTTCGGGTCAAATAAAGGTTTCCCTAGCACCAGACTTTGCCAGTTCATCTGCTGACTCATTATCTTCGATGTCAGAGTGGCCTGGAACCCAGCGCAGTACCACTGTATTATTTTCCCCTAGAGTGTTCAGTATATTTACATAGTTCTTTACAATCCTTGATGTTTGGGTGACTGAGACTAGTGCATGTAGAGCCGCTTGACTATCTGAGTTTATATAAATATGCTTGTCAACATAGCCTCTCTTCAGGTTCAAATCCGCACAAGTAACTATAGCGTACACTTCAGCCCGAAAGATAGAGGAGTGTCGTCCCATGTTCGGGTCTCACACCGTGTATACCACAGCCTATGTTGGGTCCCATCTTAGACCCATCGGTATACCATAAAAGGCTACCGTCCTTCCAGGTGAGACTGTTAGTTTCCCAGTCCTCCCTAGTTGGAAACTCTACCTGATAGAGTTTTTTAAAGTTTTGTTTGGGAAGCATGACATCAGAAGTCATTCCCAGAACAGAGTGTTCCAGAATGGAGTTTTGGGCTGATCTCAATGTCTGGGAGAGCCATCTACTCCTTAACCTAGTGGTAAGCCTGTACATGCTGGTACTGGCCTCCCTCTGTATGAATAAATGCAGAGGAGTCAGATTCAGCAATGCATTTAGGGTTGCCCCAGGTGTGGTGGACATGGCTACCGTTGCTAGCAGGCACGCGATGCACTGTAGACTGCCCAATGTGACAATTGTGGTTATTTGGCTGACTTTAGCACTTCAAGCAACAGAGGTGTAAGTCACTATGGGCCTCACAATTGCCTTATATAATCAGAGAGTTATCTTTGGTTTTAGACCCCAATGCCGTCCCGCCATACGGCTACAGATACCTAAGGCCATCTTGGCCCTGTTGATCGTGTTAGCAAATTTAGCTGTAAGTTAAATATTTACATGTCCACAAATGTGTTTGTTGTAAACAATTAAAACCATTTATTTAGAAAAGGCAGAAGAATTAAGTGGTGGATTACTCTTTTTTTTTCAACAATTTAAAATGAAATATTTAAAATAATAAAAAGCAAAAATGGGTCAGATAACCACACTAATTACCTGGTCTCAAACTAGGGAATTCACTGTACTAGAGTGACGAAATTCACTTCGGGGCCCTACATAGAATACCCAGAACTTGGACCTCCACCTCCACCATTCACAGTGCAAGTTGCCCAGCCAACAAGGTCGTGAAAATAATTGGATGTTAACAATATTTGTTCAGTTTCTTTACAACACTGATGAATTGGTTATGCTTAAAATATCCAAAGTAGATATACTTTCAGTGGTGGTGAAGAAGGTATGTTGCTAGCTTTGTACGAAGCGGCGCATCTTAATAGAAACTTCATGACTACATTGGCGCACTCGTCGTCTGCCGCTGCTTCATCGGCCCCTCCGTCCCCTCCAGCCACTCTTCCACCACATCAGGTGAGGAATTTCATCTACTAAATTGTCAATACATACATCCACTATACACATATGTATATACATACACATAGGTATATACATACACATAGGTATATTTAGGTACTTACTTACTCACTACTCGTGCTCTCACTAGTAGTCGATAAATCCGTGGATAGCTAGTGAAATTTTGTCCACCAAACCATTCCAAATAATCGTTTTGACATCTCAAAACTCTATTATTTCGAATTTAAATGGCATTTTTTTAGTGATTTTTGTAAAACCCCTTTTTCTTTTGGTTTTAAGGTCTTAAACGTACAAATAAGTTCAAGCAATGTCAATAATTATAAAATCACAGTAATGTTTAAGCTAAATACAACAAAAAATATTTTAGATCACACAAATGAGATTGCAGTAACACGAATGATTTTCTCATAAACATAAATGAAAAAGATGGCACAACAGTAAAGATAAATTATTATGACAACACACATTTTATCGTTCACAGAAGAACATTTAACAACATTTAACATGTAACAAATATTTTAATACAACTTTTTGTATCAAAATCCTTCTCATCCGTGTAAGACCATCTATCTATCTATATGTAATTAATAAACAAATCTAAAAAAGTATTTTGTTAATGTCATATAAACTTTGTTGTACATCAATATATCATCATCACCACCATCAACATCATCATTATGATCACCATTATCATTAGCATCATTACCATTCACA